ATTCCTTGACAGCGGGGACTATTTTATGTATCTTTATACCCCTCCCAGTTTGCCCCCTAGCTGTTCAATAAATATTTGTTGATCTGACTACAAATTTTCATCTCAATAAAGTCACTGATTTCATGGCATCTGGAAGCTAAGCCATATGATTTAGACAAGTAAATGCTATGAAAGTTTCAGCTAACGGTAATCTAACTGAAAAACCAAAGAGATCAAATGTATGCTAGAAGATTTTCAGACTACTCTTTTGTAGAACAGGCAGTGATTTAACATAGGGAAAATTTAGCCATAGGGAAAAATAATTATAAATATCCTAAATTGCTGATATATAAGTCATATTCAGACCAGCCCTAATAACTGTATCAAATGGAATCTAGAATAAGCTGTCTTGAATAAATATCTTATCTCTAATTTTTTCAAACATTAGTTTTTTTTTTTAATAGCTAGCACCTATGGTTTTCAACAGTCACTCACATGAATATGAAAACAAAGACCAAATTAGGCAGCTATGCCATCCAAATGTTGACAGTGTTCAGTGTTTTTGTTGTAGGTAGTGCAAAACTTTCAGTTATGTGAGGAACACTGGAGGGTTTCTTACATGACATTACATTGATCATAAAGTTAAGCACTGCAAATATGGCTTTATTTGAGCCACAGGATTGCCTGAAAAGGCAGCACATTCAGTTGTAGTGAACACCTGCTGGACTGTTGACTTTTTGCTAAAGTATATATGCAATTTTGACACCTGCCTCTGCCACAGCATGAACATGATTTTTTCTTAATATTACAAATAATAAAAATGGCATCTGGCAGTACTATCTCCTCAGTATCATTTAGATGAAAACACAAAATTGAGAGGTAGTTGTAGATTTTTCATAATATAATTAACTCCAAGAGATAACACCAGCACTTTGGGAGGCCAAGGCAGGAGGATCTCTTGAGGCTAGGAGTTTGAGACCAGCCCGGGCAACACAGCGAGACCCCATCTCTACAAAAAATTAGCCGAGCGTGATGGTGTGCACTTGTAGTTCTAGCTATTTGGGAGGCTGAGGCGGGAGGATTTCTTGAGCCCCAGAGTTTGAGGTTGACAGTGAGCTATGACTGCACCTCTGCACTGAAGCCTGGGCAACAGAGCAAGACCCTGTCTCTATTGAAACAAACAAACAAACAAACAAACAAACAAAAAAAGACAGATACTGTAATTTGGCTATGCTTCTACCAAGTCATTACTCAGAAAACAGTTTTCTGAAACTAAAAGTCATGATGTTCCTATTTGGTTTGAGTTATCACAGAAAAATATAAATAAATAAAAATAATTTACATTCTCAATTTAATTGTGTTCTTCTAAATGAAGATGCAATATGATTAAGCAGGACAAAGATTTTCATTTTAGTACCTCAATAAACACAGATAGGGAACTGACATTTTCTAGTTCTGCTTTCTCAGTGCAGACTGAGTGTTCTTCTTCCTTAAGACAAACTTACTGTGCTGTCAGAAACATACCAAAAATTTAGAAACTGTCAATTAAAAATTAGATGCACCATAACATTTTAAGTGTTTTACAGAGAACTTTTTTTAAATATGAGAGGTAACCACATAAAAATAACTATATATTTTTAAAGAGTTCCCTTAAAGTAAGCTGTCTGATGCCGTAAGGACTAGCTATAGAATAAGAACAGGAAGGTTCTGTAAAGAGAACTGGGAGAAAGAGGCTCTGTGGCTCCAAATGTATAGGTGTGGGAGAGGACTAGAGGACATGCTGCCACCATGAAAGATCACTCAGCATTCCTTTTGATCAGACATCCTTCAGAGATGTTAAGACACTGTGTCCCCAGCTCTGGCTCAAACCACTGGAAATTAATTATGAGTTGGTACTGAGAAAGGTAAATAGAAAAAAAACTCTGGAGTGAAATGACAGACTACCGTTTCTTTAGCTATGACCTAATTGACTTATCTTGACCTGACCATAAAATGAAGATAACTCACCTTTTCAAAGTTGCTGAAAAGATTAAGATAATGTATACAGAAATAAATATGTAAGTATTACAATATGTCTGAAGAAATATTTGCCAAAATGTTAATGGTAATCTTTGGCTGGAAGACTTATGAGTACATATTTTGTTTTCTTTATCCTTATCTGTGTTTTCCTTTTTTTTTTTTTTTTCACAATTAGTAACTATGACTTACATATGTGATGCATGTAAGTCACTTAGCACAGTGCTGGCATGCATGCTGGCTCAAAAATGGCAGCTTTCATCATTATCAATACAAAAACATAAAGCAAGACATTGCCCTCTCTTCTTGTTTCTAGATGTATAAATGAATGCTTCTCTATGGAGGAAAAGTCATGAACATGAGGTTAATTCCACCACACAAAGTCCACAGCTGACTTCCCACTCCCGAGCCAGATGAAAGGTCACAGCTTAGAGGAACGGGTCTTTATGTGCTTATGACTTGGTGTTGGAAGGAGTTCCCTGACCATGGGAGAGCTCAGCTCTGTGATGATTTAGCAAAGCAATTCAGAATGAAATTTGTCCTGGTTATACATTAAATTAATGTACAAAATACCACCTACCTTTCTAGCTAATGTGAATTATGAGGTTGCCTTGAAGAACAAATATTTCCCAATAGAATTCCCAGGTCCAACAAAACAATCAAGATTTGGGGTTTATGTGTGTTGCTGATTATACAGAATAGGAACCTAGCTCAACTTTATTGTGGCTCTAATGTCTAAATTTATTTTATTTTTGAAATATCTTAACTAATAATTCACCACAGGCTTCAAGACTTGAAAACAAAGACCTTGGAAAAACTGCCACAAATGTTTAACCAAAATTATTATAATAATTGCAGGATATCACAGATAAATGCATTTATATTTACTATAGAAGAATCTCACACATTTTCAAGAATGCCTTGAATTCAGCAAAATCTGGTAACAAAATATTGTTACCTAAAATGAGTGCCAATATTATATTCCTTGGATCTCAATTACAGAATCAAATACCCAGCCTTGCCCCAGGAGAAAAGAGACTGTTTAATGTTTCTAAGTAAGTAACTCGGGGAATATGAACTTTGAAGAGGATGAGTTTTTTTGTTGTCTCGACTACTGCTTCTAGATTTTTAATAAGACTTTCCACCCTTTACCTTCTCTTTATACATAATTTAATGCTTGGCAACATTTTCAAAGCTTTGGTAGGTTTAAATTTCTTGTCAAAGTTCATTTATGCCCATTTCTTAGGGACAAAAAAAGAAACACTCTTTCCAGGTTCAAGCACAATAGTTAAAATGAGCTATGTAACAGTCTTTTTAGCCACAATATCAGACTTTGCATATTATTTTCAAATCATGTAGCTCCCAAAAAGAATGGCACCTTTATTCCCTCCTTCTACCCTTTCCCCCCACAAAATAAAAGATGTTAGCTAAACATCTAGATTTTCATACATTGTAAAAAATGAGGCACAGGAGTTAAAACTCAAGTTAAAAAAGAGAAGGTGTAAATTATTTTGATGTTGAGCTTATACAACACTTTTATATTCTGGATCTAGCTGAATACAGTTTTGTGTCAGCAGTAAAGTTAATGTCTCCTCTTGATTAATATAGAATTTTAAAAATTAAAAAAATAAAGCCATTTATTAAGGAGACAAAAAATGGGAGTTGGGGTGGGAAGGAAAAGCAGGAGTTGAGGACGCAAGCATGTAAGTCTAGGATGACTCTCAATTTCCTTTATGACAGTTTTTAAAAAACAGAATTCCCTCCCTATGTGTTGCCTGAGAACCACATATGGTTTTGTAAAGTCTGTAACAGTAATTACATTTGATCACTCACAAGTACATTTGTCTTAAGCCTATAAATACTATGTTAGTAATACTAAATTATCTCCATTGGCTTATTTGTAAAAAGAAAAATATATTATATATTTATATTTTTATAAAGTGAATTAACACTGAGGGCACAGGAAGGGGAATGAGAAGCGGTGTATAATCACAGTTTCTCTGGACATGGTAACCAAACTGGAGTCTTGCTCAAGCCACCTGGTCAAGCGGTGTCTGAGGAAGAGTCATAGGAGGCGGAGACGATGAAATTGCCATTGTTGGAGTGGCCGGCCACTGACTGGGCAGCCTGCTGGCTCAGATTGTTACAGATCAGCACCAGCTGGTTGCTCTGGGCTTCAGACAAGGTGCTGCAGCTCTGATACACACTGAAGTTGGTTTTCCTGCCAGGGATGTTGCCCTTCTCACACATGGTCTTCACCATCTTGGCCAGCTTGTTCTTGCCAAGGGCCTGGCAGTTGTACCAATGCAGAGCGGCCAAGTTAACGACTGGCTTGATGGATAAGTAGAAAGGGGCATCCTCGTAGCGCATGGCGGGAGGCCGCCGCTGGGCATACTCCTTATAGTCCTGGACAGGGCAGGTCTGTGGGGCGTGCTGGGTGGCATACACACGGGAGTCTGTCCCCCCTCTCTTGGTTTTGGCATTCAGGTCTCCTGTGTCCTGACCCATCCACTCCAAGTACTCCAGACCCGTCTCTGTTACCCGGAGCCGGATATCACCCCATTTTAAGGTAGATCCATGGAAGCCTGTGCAATGCCCAAAAGCTTTTGTGTTGTTGAGCCAGACTAGGTTGAGCAAACCCTCGGGATTATATCGGCTTAGTAGTCCCCTTTTCCGCAGGATGAGCTCGTCAGCAAAGGTGAGCTTCATGGACTTGTGTGGCTTATTTCCTTTTCCTTTACAGCGGAGTTCAATTTGCTTCTGCTTCAGGGCCTCTTGGGAACGCTTGAATTCCTTATCCCTGGTGATGCTGTAGCCATACCTGTGTTCCTTTAGGTACCTTTCAAGCCCACACTGGTAATTGGCCAAGCTGTTGGGTTCGTATTCGGACCCATCCTTCTGCCTGGCATCAACAAAGAAAGAGGCAAGGTAGGCATCCAACTCCTTGCAAGGGATGACATAAATCTCTCTTGTTTCAGAAGGATACTTGGAGATGAGGAACTCACGGAAATTGCGGAGCGCGGTCTGCGTGCTCCGGATGGTTTTCTCGTTCTGCTCCCTGCTGAGCTCAGCTGCTCTTTCATCCTGGTCTGCAACAAATTGGGGGGGGGAAGGATAGAGAGGGTGTTGATGAGTTCAGACAATGCACTTTCTACTCTGAAATAAAGTTTCCTTTTATAATGACAAGGGAAAGGAAGAATCGATTTTACAGAGATCACTGATAAATGTTATTTACATACCTGTCACGTTATAATAGCCAACTTCGGTTTCACAAATGATCTACTAGACAAGCATATCGCCCATTACAAGCAAAATGAGCTTCCTATGTCACTGGCACACAGTTTAGTGCATGAAGGTTTGTGGAAAGACAGAGATTAGAGACAGCCTTCGTTTTAGGAAAAATGTGGGACAGAAATGTGTTATTTATCCTACTTCTGCGTGCAGAGGCCCCATTAGTGCTGACAAACCCATTCTGAATCACTTCATTTGTGAAAACACAGGTTGTACTGGTTCCATTTTACTGAACTAAAATATCTGTATTTGTTATTTTAATGCATCACTAAAAATCTGTATTTAAAAATGACAAAGCAAATTTTTTATGGCACTTAATTAAATACTTGTTCTTCTACAGCAATTCAGGTAAACATACTTTATAAGCATTCTGCATGTAATTTCAGGGCATTTGTAATAAGTGATGAGTGGAAATATTTGGTATTTTGGAGGGTAATGAGGATAAAATGTTGTAGCTACAAAGACAGGACAGTTACATTTGAATTAGGCTATCATAGTCAAGATGTAAAGAAGGCGTATGTCTCCAGGACCCATCGTTTCTTTTTATTACTTTATTATTTGGACTCTGCTAAAAAAGGACTTGAGGTGCATCTTTCTGTTTTGGATCATCCATGATTAAGTAATGCTGCCCTAGAATAGCTGTCTTCACAGATTCCTGCGCTTCAGAATCATCCAGGATGCTTGATCAAAATGCAGATTACCACGTAGGAGGTGTAGGAATCTGTATCTTAACCAGCATCTCTATGTTCATGATGAGGTTTGAAAGAATACATTTTGAGAAACAAAGTTTTAGTGCTTGTGTCCTAGGCAGGAAATCTTACTCTATTTTCACCAATTTTTAAATAATAGTTAAGTTCAATTACATCATTTACACAGTTTCATTTCAGTAAAATGTAATTTAATTTAGGATCTTAACATTAACAATAAAACATTTTGTCAAAAATTATCACTATTTTGTTAGACATGGTCTGGTGAAACTCAAAAGAAACCCTAAAGAAAGCATACAATTAAAAAAAAACAAGCTACTCTATTGACTGCTGAGAGGCAAACACAGAGATTAATTTCAAACAACATAAAATACGTAATTTCTGATTCCTAAAGTATAAGGTAAAAGTATTTTGTTTACCTTAATTATGTTATCTAGAAAAACTGTATTAACTTGTAAGGTTGCTTAGTGGAAGTCTTTGTAATTATTACATCCAATGATAAAATTCCTAATAAACTGAATTTTATTTACACACTACTTTGTGTATTACTATACATATATATGAATAGCCATGTTATTTTAAAATGACAATCATAAGTCATAATTGCCAAAATCCACATAACTTTACAAAATGATATAAACTAAAAATTCACTAAACAAGTTAGCTATTTTTGTAAGAACATTTTTGAGGGATCACATTTCCAAATTCAAATATACAAAAGTAACTTTTATGCTTCAACACACTTAACTTTTAGTCATGCTATTTTCTTCCAGTTGAAATTGTTTATCTATTAACAATAAAGGTGTTTATCTTTCCATCAAAAACATGGAAGCCACAGGTTGAATGTAACCATTTGCCATGCTGGCTTCCTTGACTGTTTACATGGAAAGCCAAAAGGGCCAGCACATCTGTTTTTCTTGGCTACTTGTTCAAATACCTATCACAGCAGTCTTCTAACTTCAAACAAAGATTTTCTAAGAAATAAACAGTCACAGACAACTTTAGGAGAAAAATTTCCAGGTTCTCAACTTTCACATGGGATCTTTTAAAAACTTTGTCTGAGATGCAGACTGAGTTTGTACATGGTGCCATCCCAAACCTACTATGGTACATATTCTGGGGTATATTGATTTATAAATTTTGTTTGGCTCCTCAAAGTCAAAAGACTTTTGACTTCTACCCATTAGCATTTCCTGTCTTTAAATAATTAAATCCATAGCATTTCCTGTCTTATGGATATTTTGACAAAGGTGAAATGTACCATTAGAAACAGTGTTTGGGGCCTGAAGTGGGGTGTTCTGAATTTAGGACATATGAAGCGGTTATATGTTAGTGAGGTTGATTCTTCTAACTAGAACTAGAATATTCTGCAGAACTACCAAAAAGCTCAAGATAAAGTAGCAGCTTAAAATTTTATTAATTTCTTTCAGATGATTCAGTGTGCTTTTTATTCACAAGGTATTTAATATTATCAAATCATATCATGAAATACTGATTCTAGTTACAGTTGCTCCTCCTCTTTTTATTTATTTATTTATTTTTGAGACAGGGCCTTGCTCTGTCACCCAGGCTGGAGGGCAATGGTATAATCTTGGCTCACTGCAACCTCAGTCTCCTGGATTCAAACGATTCTCCTGCCTCAGTCTCTCACGTAGCTGGGATTACAGGCACCCGCCATCATGCCTGGCTAAGTTTTGTATTTTTGTAGAGATGGGGTTTCACCATGTTGGCCAGGCTGGTCTTGAACTCCTGACCTCAGGTGATCTGCTCACCTTGGCCTCCCAAAGTGCTGGGATTACAGGCATGAGCCACCATGCCCGGCCTCCTCCTCTTCATTTTAAAAAATATTCATCTATTTCCTACCTCCTTTTTTACAAAATTGAAACATGTTGAAAAACCTTTGGATGTCAATTTAAAAGTGAGTGGTAAAGAATATTCTAAGTTCTTTTAAGATATATGTGAGCAAAAAAGTTTAAGTCTGTTGGATTTAATTAAGCAGCATTAGTCAGTCTGCTATTAGTGAAACTGGTGAAGACAACCACAGAAGGGTCCAGAATGCTGGTGTGGATGTCATCACCTGCCACAGTCCCCTGGGTGAAGCTCTCCTACTTCTGTATCTCCTCTGCATTTCAGCACCATGCTAACACACATGAAGATGACTGACACATTTACACCTGTTCAATTCATCTTCAGTCAAGCCTTGTTTTCAAGCCTTCCCTTCCTTTCTATTGGGCCTCAATCTTAGTTGACAAACAGCCATTTCACCTGCAGGAAAATAAAACTAAAGACAAATATCACACAGTGTGATGTTGTCTGCTTTTTTTCTGTTTGTAGGAGGTTTTTAATATATTCTAGAAATGAATGTTTGTTATATTTATTGCAAATATCTTCTCCAATCTGTGGCTTGCCTTTTCATTTTTTATGGCATCTTTTAATAAACAATAATTCCTAATCTTATATAGTCCAATTTATCAATTTATTGCCCTTATGATTCATGCTTTTTGCATCCTGTTGAAGTAAGGCACCTGCTCATCTCAACCCTTTGTTACCAAGTTTCCCTCTTCACAACAACCAATGTTACCAATTGAGTATATATAATTTTCAAGGTTCTATATTTCTTATTCTTTTCCTTTTAAAATGGGGGTGGGGGAGGAATATACTATAAACCCTATTCGATACTCTGCTTTGTTCCATGCTTTCCTAACAGCATAGAATGAGCCACATGAGGTGGTTGAAACGGTAAAGACACCATCGCTGATTTTACATGAGTAAGAGGGAAGGAAACAGTTTTAAAGTTAATAGGAATAAGATTTTTAGTTAATAACAAAATCAAGTAAGACCAGAGAAGACTGACAATAAAATACAAAACTATTACAACTGTCTTGCATTTACCTCTAGTTTTAGAATTTTTTCTGACCCATTCCTTTTAAAAACTTTTTAATAGGTGTAACACACATACAATGAAATAGACTAGTCATTAAGTGCATGGTGATTAATTTTCACAAATTGAATACACCTGTGAATCCAGTGCCCAGATCAAGAAAAAGAACATCACCAGCACCCCAGAAGCCTTTTTCATGTCCTCTTCTTCCAGTCACTCGCTCTCACCAAGAAAACCTGCTATCCTGACTTGAAACATCATAGTTTTGTTTGGCCTATTACTGTAACACATATGAATGGACTCCTAGAAGGTAAGCTCTTTTGTGTCTGGCTTCTTTTGCTCACCATTATGGTTTGTGAACTTCATCCATATTGTTGTGTATTTGTAGATAATTTATCCTCATTGCTGCACAACATTCCATTGTGTGAATATATTATAATTTATTTTTCCATTCTACTGGATAGTGCATTCTATTAGTTTTCAGTTTTTGGCTATTTCCAATAAAACTGCCATAACATTCTAGTGGATGCCTTTTGGTGATCATGTGCATGCATCTCTCTTGGGTATATACGTAGGAGTGGAATTGCTGGGTCACAGGAAATCATGTGTTCAGCCATAATACCAAAGACAATTTGCCAAAGTGGTCATATCAATTTACTTTCCCCACCATGAGGAAAAGGTGCTCCGTTATCTTCAGCAACACCAAACACTGTTAATCTTTCTTACTTTAACCATTCTGGGCATGTAGAGGTGCTCCACTGTGGTTTTAATTTTCATTTGGATATCCTCTTTCGTGAAATGCCCGTTCAAATATTTTGCCCATTTATCTACTGGATTGTCTGCTTTTTTTCTGTTTGTAGGAGGTTTTTAACATATTCTAGAAATGAATGTTTGTTATATTTATTGCAAATATCTTCTCCAATCTGTGGCTTGCCTTTTCATTTTTTATGGTATCTTTTAACAAACAAGAATTCCTAATCTTATATAGTCCAATTTATCAATTTATTTCCCTTATGATTCATGCTTTTTGCCTCCTGTTGAAGACATTTTGCTTATTTCAAGGTTATGAAACATTTTCCATTTCTTCCAAAAGTTTACTGTTTCACTGTTCACATTTTGATGTGCCATCCACCTAGAACTGACTTGTGCATTTTGATCTGCCATTTACCAAAATATCCACCTGTATGTTCTGAAATAGAAATTAAGATTT